GGACAAACTCATGATCAATACTAAACGTTCAGGGCTCTGAACTACTAAATGTGGCATAGAGCTAACAGATACAACATGACTGTATCCCTGGACGACCCCAAAACAACCAACTAGAAGTACTACACAATAAGAGTTGGAGGCTACACAATTGAGAAAAGTCAACAGATTTCATATAGATACATAGACAATCAGAAAACTCATGAGAGTAAAGATCTTCCTTGCAAAAGTATTAAAATAAAAGAAAAACATATGGAAGAATAAACTTTTAAAATTCACAGAAAGTATACAAAGAAAACGTTAAATCACTCCTGAAGAGAAGACAAGTAATGACTCTATAGCATCTTATTTCACTGATGGATCGGTATTGACGTGGGGTGGGGGAGGACTTGATAATATGGGTGAATGTTGAAACCACAATATTACTCATGTGAAACCTTCATAAGATTGTATATCAATGCACAATGAGATATCACCTCACACCAGTAAGGATCGCCACCATCCAAAAGACAAACAACAACAAATGTTGGCGAAGTTGTGGAGAAAGGAGAACCCTCCTACACTGCTGGTGGGAATGTAAATTAGTTCAACCATTGGGGAAAGCAGTATGGAGGTTCCTCAAAAAGCTCAAAATAGAAATACCATTTGACCCAGGAATTGCACTCATAGGAATTTACCCTAAGAATGCAGCAGATAAATTTGAAAAAGACATATGTACTCCTATGTTTATCACAGCACTATTCACAATAGCCAAGAAATGGAAGCAACCTAAGTGTCCATAACAGATGAATGGATAAAGAAGATGTGGTACATATACACATGGAGTATTATTCAGCCATAAGAAGAAAACAAATCCTACCATTTGCAACAACATGGATGGAGCTAGAGGGTATTATGCTCAGTGAAATAAGCCAGGTGGACAAAGACAAGTATCAAATGATTTCACTCATCTGTGGAGTATAACAACAAAGAAAAAACTGAAGGAACAAGACAACAACAGACTCACAGAACCCAAGGATGGACTAACATTTACCAAAGGGAAAGGGACCGGGGAGGATGGGTGTTAAGGGAGGGATAAGGGGGAAAAAAAGAAGGCATTACTATTAGCCAACATAATGTAGGGGGGGCGGGCACGGGGAGAGCTGTACAACACAGAGAAGACAAGTAGTCCCTCTATAGCATCTTAGTATGGTGATGGACAGTGACTGTAATGGGGTATGTCGGGGGAACTTGATGATGGTGGGAGTCTAGTAAACATAATGTTCCTCATGTAATTGCAGATTAATGATACCAAAATTAAAAAGAAATAAATAATAAATAACAGGGCATAAAAGTATGAATAATTGTCAGGAAAAGACAGTTCTCTAACAAGTAAGAGACACTCAACCCCACTTATAAGAGAAATGCAAATTAAAACAATACTCTAATCTAATCTTTTGTAAAGACAAAGATCAAAAACTGTAACAGTGTGGATACGGGAGTGGGGACACAGGACTTCTCTTAAATCTTTCCTCCACAGAGAAATTTACAAAAATCTATCCGTTTTTTGGATTTAGATTCCTTTTGCCCAGCAATTTTACTTTTAAGAATTTATCTTATAAATTCACATATATGCAAAATGCTATTTGTTCACAGATAGTCTTTAAGGATAATAAAGTATTAGAGGACAAAAAATGTCTATCGATCTGGGTCCTGGCAAATAAGTTGTGGTGTGTACATGTGACAGAATACCAAGAAGCCATTTAAAATGATGGGCTGTTCTGTATGTACTTACATGTAAAAACTGGCAAAATATAAAGCAAAATACTAAAAAGTCAATGTGGTATGCTATCACTTGTACTTTAAAATAATTATATTCACACACACACACACACACACACACAAACACTTGCCTACACACCCACGGGATGGGTGAGGAGAAACCACTAAGTGTGAAGCTGCAGTGAGCGCTCTCCCCTACCAGCCTCTTCAGTAGTAGCTGGACAGTCTGTATTAAAAGTCCTAAAAATCTTGCTTCAGCCCATGTAATTCCACTTCTAGTAATCCATCCTGAAGTACTGAAAAAGGTTTTTGTTCACATGTGTCCAAAGAATTATCTATACTCAAGAAAAGTTGGAACCAAGTACCATGTGTGTTGGCTGTGCCATTTAATAATCCTCAGTTCTGGGCAGAGAACCACAGAGAAGAGAGCTGCTCAGAAAGAAAGCCCAGGAGATCTTTAGAGGCTCTGGAATATTCAGCTGAGTAATGACCAATGCATGTATGTCAGGCAACTACCAAGAAAATGCCAACAGAAAATATTAGAAGGAATAATATCTATAGTTCATACAGGTCTAAGAATCATGCCTGTTATCAACAACTAGAAAGATAAATCTCATGATTTGGGGCCCTCAATAGAAAAATCAGAAGAGTTTTGCTTCAGTAGTATGAGGGAAGAAAAACAACCTTGGACTGGTCCCACTTAACAGGGCTTAATAGCAAGAATGATAGAATAAAACTGTCTCCAAGTGATTTAACCATATCCTAAAAATAGTTCAAAAAATGTTATAGGTATGCATTACATCTAGCACTCAATAAGATAAAATTCATAATGTCTATCAGCCAATCAAAAATTACCAGCCATGCAAAAAATAGAAAAATAAGACACATTATAAGAAAAAGCAATGAATCAGAACTGAACTGGAAATGACACAAGTGACAAATTTAGTATACAGGAGATTTAAATGATCATTATATGTTTATTCCATATGTTCAGGAAGCTACAGGAATGGTCGAATAGAAGTATAGATGTGGAATATACAAACAAACTTCTCATACCAAATTTCTATTGATTGAAAAGATTCCATTTCTGACATGAATAATACACTGGATGGGATTAACAGTGGACTTGAACTTACACAAAATTAATAAACTTGAATGCATAGCAACAGTAACTGTCTAAAATGAAACACAGACTGAAAAGAGACTAAAAAATAGAAAAGAAACAGAGCACCAGTGAACTCTGGTACAGCCCCATTTTATTTGAGTCTCTATAGGAGTGGAGAAAGAGGGAATTAAAGAAAAAAAATGGCCAAAATCTTCCAAATTTGATGAAACTATAAACCCACAGACCCAAGAAGCTCAATGAATCCCAAGTACAAGAAACAAAGAAACCACATGAAGGCACTTTATAATTAAACTGCTTAAAACAAATAGTAAAGAGAAAACCTCAAAAACAACCAAAGAAAAAAGATACTGTATGTGAAGGAACAAAGATAGTGATGGCAGAACATTTCTCATCAGACAGAATTATAAACAGGGAACAGCAGAGGAACACCTTTAAAGTGATGAAAGAAAAAATCCTCACCCTGTAAGTCTTTACCCATCAAAAATATCTTTCAAATAATGAATATGAGAGCGTTAGTGTTTCTGGAAATTTGAATTGTATGGAGATGAATAATGAATAAGCAGAATTTGGTGGAGAAAAAAAGTAGTGTGAAAGGAAAACTTCTGAAACATACAAAAGCTAAAACAATTAACCAGTAGACTTGCACTACAAAAAATGCTGAAGTCCTTCAAGTAAAACAAAAGTGAGGCCACATGAAAATTTCTATCTAAACAAAGGAATGATGAGCATAAGAACTATATAAACATTAAATCTCACTATTAAATCTCCTTAAAATAAAATCAGGCGTTTACAACAACAACAAATAATAACAATCCTCAGTTCTGCTCTACAGAACAAAAAAACTGGATGAATGAAACTTAGGACAGAGAGTAAACAAACTTGGAGCTTGTAAGACATGTTAGTTACAAATGAAGTAGAACACATATGATCTAAACATAGATAGGAAGGGATCGAAAAACCAAGTGGTCACCTAGTACTAATGAGCACCCAAAACTGGCCACCCACTGCTGGTATCCATTCTGGATCAAAGGGTCTGCCTGACATAGGGGGAGACAAGCTCTTGATACCCAAGAGGGGCTTTGACAAGAGACCTATGGCCAGGCATGCTTGCCCCTGCACTTCTCCAACAGAGCGTGTGTGTATGGGCTCTGGGCCCCTTCCATCTCCTGAGTCCCTATGCCCATTCCCAGATCTGGTCCTCATAACCACATCGTCAGCAGGGAATGGTGTGGAGGCAGAGAGAAAGAGACAGGCTATGTGAATGCTGCCCAAGCCAGGATCCAAATACTATAGTCTAATGCATTCACCTAATGTGTCTTCTTTCCCTTGCTTCTTACAGTGTTTGAATCATTTATTAAGTCAATTTAAAGAGATTAATCTGGTCTGTGGGTCTATTTATATCTTCTAGGACACTATCTTTGGAGGCCACAATAGCATCAAGATAATTTCCCACCAACACAATTACAAGAAATGATTAGGTAAATTCTCCTCTATCCACATAACAAATTATCTGCTTCAACTACATTTACACAGTTTAAAATAACATAAGCATTATTATTGAAAAACAAAATATAAATATGAACAGAATATAATTAAAAATATCCAAATTTTATTGAAGGAAAAGGTTTCTTTATAGATTTATGTATATACTTAAGGAAATGTACTAAACTATTACGAAGTTATCTCCAAGGTATATATATACACATGATCTTTAAATTTCTCTATATTTTTCATATGTGTTATTTACGTAATCTGGAAGAATTATAAACTCTTAAATATGCACAAAGTTGTTCAAGATTCAAGATGGCGGCGTGAGAGGTGAGACAGAGAACTCCTCCCAAAACCACAAATAACATGAAAATGTAGTTAATTCATCCAACTAACCCTAAAACAGCAACAGGAAAGAAGGCTGCACCAGACTGCACGCAGACCTCAGGAACAGAGCGGACCTCACCCAACAGGCAAATGAATGAAGGCCTTGATCCGGCGGGACTCGAGCCCTTCCCCCGCCCCAGCTCAGCCAGTGGGAGGAAGAGAATCGGGGAGGGGGAGGGGGTGGAGGCCTGGGACAGCTGAACACCCAGCCCGGGGCTCTGCTTTGAGAGCAGAAACCTACCTTGCGTGGTGCTCTGGAGGATGGGCAGCTTGGACAGGCAGAGTCCTTGAGAGGATGAGATTACCGCCTATTTTGGAGGACGGGATCCACACCCGGCCGCTCTGGCTCCAGGGAAAGGCAGGCGGTCCGACAGGCTTCCTTGCAGCCACAGGGCTGCTGAAGGGGCGGGGTTCGCGCAGAGCTTGCTGCGCAAGGGAAGGGAGAGCTGGACGAGCTTGTCAGGGCGTGCTCTGCCCAGCAGGTTGGAAACTTTGGGGAGCTTCAGGTGATCCATCCCCCTGGCTGCCTGCTCAGCTCTGAGCCCCCCCCACGTGACATGCAGCCTGCTGCGCCTCCCTCCTAGCCTGCCTGCACCTGTTCGCAAACCGGCAGTCACTGTGCTGGCGGCAGGCCAGCCGGAGGGAGGCCCCGCCCACCACAGCTAGAGCCGCCCAGCACAGAGGCTTATGCCAGCACAGGAGACAGGCAGCACAGACGGGAGTCAGGAAACAGATCTCCCCTTCCCTGGGGCAACAGCTCCACTCCCCTACGGCCCCCAAACTCACTCTACGGGCTGAGCAGTTGCAGAGGCTGGAGCTTCTGAACACTAGTGGGCACATCACAGAAATATTAAATGTCAAAAGAACATGGTTCAGAACGAAATGTCACAAACCCCAGAAAAAGGCCCAAATGAAACTAAACTCACCAATCTACCTGAGAGTTCAAAATAAAAAAGCCAGATGCACCCTTATGTTGATTGCAGCACTATATGCAATAGCCAAGAAATGGAAACAACCTAAGTGTCCATCAGTAGACAAATGGATAAAGAAGATGTGGTACATATACACAATGGAATATTATTCAGCCATAAGAAGAAAACAAATCCTACCATTTGCATCAACATGGATGGAGCTAGAGAGTATTATGCTCAGTGAAATAAGCCAGGTGGAGAAAGACAAGTATCAAATGATTTCACTCATCTGTGGAGTATAACAACAAAGAAAAAAACTGAAGGAACAAAACAACAGCAGACTCACAGAACCCAAGAATGGACTAAGAGTCACCAAAAGGAAAGGGACTGGGGATGATGGGTGGGAAAGGAGGGATAAGGGGGAAAATGGGACATTATGATTAGCACACAATGTAGGGGGGTGGGGGCACGGGGAAGGCAGTATATACAGAGAAGTAGTGTTTCTATAGCATCTTACTATGCTGATGGACAGTGATTGTAATGGAGTATGTGGTGGGGACTTGATAATAGGGGTAATCTAGTAACCATAATGTTCAAGTAATTGCACATTAACGATATCAAAATAAAAACAAATAAATATAATTTTTAAAAAACGTTCATCATCTTTAAATTGGCTTCTATCTCTTTAAGAAAAGAGAACTCTTAAGTCCCTGAGTCCCATTCTCGAGGAGAGAGCCTCGAGCCAGTTCAGTTGAAGTTCAGTTGCGGAAACTGGACGCTGCAGGAACTCCTCTCTGAGAATACTCTGTAAATGTGAAGCTTTCAAAGCTGTCTAATTGATTACTTAAGGATCAAGAACAATAGATGGTGGAGGTTTGTTTCCCTTGCATTGGTTTGTTACTTTGTATTGGCAATTTTCAGTTAACCCAGGTTAGTTACTTTGTATGGACACTTTTCAGTTAACTCAGCAACACTAATTATGGTATTTTAATGATGAAAGATTTTGTGAAACGGTTGAATGAAATTTAAGTAAGTTCTGAAACAACATGCCTTCAACTCTCAAATTTGACAACTCCATTCAAACTGGACAGTAGTCAGATGCCATCTGTCAGTTTCTTCCCTCTTCTTTCATTAAGCTTCCCTCTTCTTTCAAAAAGTATTGACACTTTTCAGAGACTGCTGGTCACTTCTAATTACTAAGGAGGAATATCATGCCTCACCAAGAAGCCTGTAAAGTCATACTAGCATACACGTTTCATTTGTACTGGATAATATTTTAATGTATTCGATTACAATTTTTTTGAAGCATTGTTGATACACAGCCTTACATTAATTTCAAATGTGTTACCACATTAAATCCTCACCCAGCACTAGTGCAGTTACTATCTGTCAACATAGGAAGATGTTACACAATCATTGCCTATATTCTCCATGTTGTACTACCATCCCTGTGACCAACTTACAATTTTGATTGAAACTTTTTATAGAGTTAATTGCTTTCATAGTCTTTGTGCCAAAGAAAATTAGTTCCTTTATGTCTGTACTTTAAGGTTCTGTAGGAACAGTAGATTTTTATGTCTTTCTTTGACTCTAAGGTAATTTCATTCATTTCTAGGCATAAGAGGTCTTAAATATTATATGCCTAATGTATGTAACTGCTCTAGAAAAGGAAAATTCATTTATTATTAATCATTAATAGCCATTATGATATATATGCTGCTCTGTACTCTCATTTAATTCTTAAAGCACTTTTATGGGTAGATACTACTGTTATCCCAATTTCATAGATGAGAAACAGTCTTAAGGAGTTTTAAGTATTAAGTAACTTGCCCAGGGTTATACAACTAGTCAAGGGTAGACTTTAAGACAAAGCCGAGATCTTTTTAGTACAAATGAATGACACTTAATTTTGCTTGGCTATTTACTCCTTTTTGTCAGCAATCCACTTACAAGTGGAAAATCACCTTTCCTGTTTATCACTCAGTATCCTTGAATGTTTCATTTTCCATAATGTTTTCCCACAGGTGTTAGATTTGCTCTAGTTTTTCTGGCTGTCACTGTAATTTTCTCTCACTTCCTGGAGTATTTTGAAACATTTAAAAAGATTTCTTAGTCTTGAAATCTTCCTCTTGGTGTTTGGTCCTATAAGCCCCTGTAACTGAAAACTGGGCTATGGTAGATATTTGTGAAGTCTTAGATATTATTATTATTATATAATTTTTATGTTACTGTTACTCTCTTTCCTATCTTAGTGATTGACATCACAGTATTCTTAGTCACCCAAGCCATAAATACAGCAGTCATTTTTTACTTTTACTGATTAATGCAGTGTAAAAAAAGTACTTCAGTGCCAATCAACAGTTTTAGTTGCTGGAGGTCAGGCAGTGAATATGGCAGACAAGGTTACTGGTTTTCTGGAACTTGAATTCTAGTGAAGGGACTTGTACAATATACAGTAAATAGGCTAATGAAATAATTTCACTCACTGGGAAGTCAAGTACCTGCCAAAAATATGTGATCTGAGAGATGGCAAAAACTTGGTCCTTTAAATGGAGTGTGTGTTAGTCCAGGTCCTCTGAGAAACATGCCACAACAGTATTAAACGTGCCAAGGTGTTTTTTTTCATTTGTTGGTAAAATACACATAATTTAAAATACACTATTTTAACCATTTTTAAGTGCTGGGTTTGTCATTAAGTACATTCACCTTGTTGTGAAACCATACCATACCATACAACCCTGCCTTTCTAAGTGTACAATTCAGAACAACCATCACTGCATTCAGTTTTAAAACACCATCAGTTCACCAAAAATGAACTCTACACATTTTGGCTAACACAGCTCAATCCTCCTATTTGCCCCAGACCAAGGCAGCCACTCATCTGACATTGGCTTTAAAGGGACTCTTACAAATATGTGATTTTTGTGACTGATTTTGTTTACTTAGCATACTAGTTTGTTTTTGAGGTTGGTATCACGTTGTAGTTTGAATCAGTACTTCATTTCTTTTAATAAACAAGTAATATCCTATTGGATTTTATTTATTCATCAGTTGACAGATAGCTATTTACACTTTTTGACTATTATGACTAGAGGTTTTATGAGTGTTTGTGGCTACACCATTCTACATTCTCACCAGCAGTCTGTGAGGGTTCAAGTTTCTTTACAGCCTTGCTAACACTTGTTATTATCTGTACTTTTTATTATAGGCATCCTAGTGGGTCTCTCTTGAGTCTTAAGTCCCATGTACCTGTGCCTTATCATTGTGACTTGTTTTCTTGTATTTAACTGTAGTGATTCTTGTCTGCCTGGCTGGCTGCCTCTTGTCATTTGCTCATGGCAGTGCCCACATGTTCACCCAGCTTTGTGGTCCTCCTTTACTGCCGACCTTCCTGAACGCCAGGCAGGCTGCAATGGTCGATCTTAGATACAGCACTAGATTCATACTATTTCATTATTTATAGTAATCCATCTAACATAGGAATCATCTAGATGTACAGAAAATATTTAATATAATTACCACTTTAAAATGTGATACCAGGAGAAAAAAGAGTTGATGAAAAAAAGTCTTTCAATTTCTAATCCTTTTATCTATTTTCACCATAGTAGGTTTTGAAGAAATTATTTGATTTTGATCAAATATGTTGCTGAAGGTAGGAAGATAATACAGTAAGATCAGTTATTGGTTTATAGAAGTTTTTGAGTAGGCTTTTGCTCTGTGATCTTTACAGTGTTTGTAAAAATCTGGTATATGGGTAGAGAAAAATGTTTTATAAGAATAGTAAAATGACTCATTACCCAATTTTATATCCTGATGAGGAAAAGGCCATTTTGCCCTATTATAGGGATGTTGTCAGTGCAATCTGAGAACTCTTCACTGAAGTAGTGTGATAAAATACACTGACATTCTTGTAAATATCCAATTATGCCTCCTAGGCCTTTGTTAAAGCTTCCCACTAAAAAATCCTATACCTTATCAGCGGATGTGAAGAGGGAGATTCCTCCTGATGCCCAAAGACACAGGAGAGCCTGAAAGGGACCCTTGTGCACCCAGGCCCACAGGGGCAGCCAGAAGGGTTCCTGCAGGAGCTGAGATGATTACTAGTAAAGTAGGGAGAGCATGTTCATTGAGTGCTGAGCACTGTGTTGGTCATAATTTTGAACTGTTCACATTATTTCCATGGAGATACCTTGCATGAAGGACTTTACAGTGTATTTTGTTAGAAAGGCTTATGATTTCTTGGGTAACTAAAATTTTTGTTGTTTTTTATATTTACCAAGTTAATATTGATGTCATTTAAGGTTTCCATCAACCTTTGGACACTCCAGATACCCCTGGAGCCAAAGTCCAAGCGCCCATACTCGTCGGCCACAGGAGCCAAGCACCCGCAGCAGGGCTTCCACTGCGATGCAGCGTTTCAGGCCAAATCCAGCAGAGGTTGTGGACCTCACTGCCGACGATGATGAGGATGGTAAGCTGGAGTAGCAGCAGTGCACAACTATGAGGAGAATTTGATAAAATTGAAATACCTTAATATGCTAGAA